GTGAAGGGACTAAGACATTTAGCGTACTGGTCTTTTGCCTGCTTGTTCTCCGCCCTCATTCCCACCTTTTGGTCCTCTGCTATGTACTTGGGGGGTGGGCTCTAAGACCCAGGAGACTATTCCCTAAACTTCCTTACCAGCTGACTCTGATTCAGTTTTCCTAATGGGAAGCCCTGGTTGAACGGAAAGGTAGGGGGAGAGGAGAAAAAAATCTTCTTCCTGCTTCTAGCTTCTGTTGGCTTTCCTCTAGCCATAGTGGGGCTGCTACTGGATCAGGATCTTGTGGCATTCGCAGAATGGCCGGTGTGAAGCCTCTTTGTTGGTCCCAGCACCAGCACCTGATACCCTTTGGTGGTTCAGAAAAAAGGGGCCCCATGGTACCTCCCCCAGGTTCTAGCCCCTCCTTCAGAGTTCTGGGGTATGGTAACACTATCTTCTCCATTTTGTTTTGTTTTGTTTTAAGATTTTATTTATTTATTTGAGAGAGAGAGAGCACAAACAAGGGGACAGGCAGGGGCAGAGGGGGCCAAGCAGACTCGATGCTGAGCAGGGAGCCTGACTTGGGGCTTGATCCCAGGACCCTGAGATCATGCCTTGAGCTGAAGTCAGGCACTTAACCGACTGAGCCACCAGGCACCCCTCCATTTTGTTTACCCAGCCTTACCCTGGTGTTTATGGACTGAATTGTGCCCTGCCCCCCCCAAATTCATATGTTGAAGTCCTAACCCCCAGTACCTCAGAATGTGACTTTATTTGGAGATAGGGTTCTTTTTTTTTTTTTTTTTAAGATTTTATTTATTTATTTGACAGAGACAGAGATAGCGAGAGCAGGAACACAAGCAGCGGGAGTGGGAGAGGGAGAAGCAGTCTTCCCCTCAAGGAGGGAGCCTGATGCGGGGCTCAATCCCAGGACCCTGGGATCTTGACCTGAGCCGAAGGCAGACGCTTAACGACTGAGCCACCCAGGCGCCCCAGAGATAGGGTTCTTAAAGAGGTAGTTAAATTAAACTGAGGTCATTAGGGTGGACCCCAATTCAATATGACTCATGTTCTTATAAGAAGGGGAGGTTGGGACCCAGACACAAAAAGAAGGAAGACCACGTGAAGACAATGGGACCAGATGACCATCTACAAGCCCAAGAGAGAGGCTTCAGAAGAAACCAACCCTGCTGACACCTCAGTCTAGGACTTCTGACTTCCAGAACTGTAAGAAAAGAAATTGTTGTTGTTTGGACCACCAGGTCGGTGGTATTTTATTAGGGCAACCCTAGCATACAACTTCCGGTGGCATCTATTAACTTCTAGGTTAACCCACAGTCTGTATGTGGCTTTCTGAGCCCTCTCTATGTGGCCAATTTCTTAAATTCCCTCTTTGAAATACCTGGAATAGTTTTGTTGTTCTAAAACACCTAATACATATCCTAAGTGTATGTATCTCAAACCTAAAAGCCTTTTGCGAAAACAGACATTGACAAAAGGTTGAGGTGGGTTTTTTTTGTTTTTGTTTTTGTTTTTGTAATTAAGAAATATTCTTTAAATAGTTCTGTACCAAATTTTGAGAGCTATTTAAGAAAAACAAAATGCTCACTCTTGGAAACCACATATATTTAATGCCTATTTCTTTTCTTGTTTTGTTTTGTTTTTGCACCTAAACTTAGTGGGCCTTAAATTTCTTTTTCTCAACTTACATTTAGAACTCTGTCAACTGCTTCCTCAGAGTGCACGTAATTAAATGGCCTTTCCCCTGCCTGCCTAAGCAGTTTTGGCTCAGTCCCTATCCTTATTTGACAGTGCCTAATAAAAGCTGGCTGAAGGGAATATGGTGTGGCCAGCCTTGATAATGAGATAAATTTTGCCACAGTCTTGCCCGCTCTCTGACTTGGATAACTCCTACCAGTTCATTTAGACTTAACCTCTAAACTTTTCTTGCTATCTGCTCCCCCAATGTGTTACAGGCTGGGATCCTCAGGATACCGATTCTGAGATGAAGGGGGTTTACGGAGAAATGCTCTTGGGAAAAACCTCTGGAAAGGAGCGAGGAGAACGGACTGGGGAGAGGGAGAAGGTGAACGGCATTGCAGTTTCAGTAGCCTTCTCAACTAACCCTTGGGGCTGGAAACTGAGATAGCGCTTCAGAGAGCTCCTGCGTGGGCCATGGAATGTGGCCGGGGAGGATGCCTGACCTTAGTTAGGCAGCTTCCTCTGTAGAGGGCAGAGGGACACAGCTGTGAGCTGCCATCAGGCAAGGCTTCTAGCAGCTGCAGGCTGAGTGCCTCAGTGTTGAAGGGGGATCAGGTTGGCACACTGTGGCGTCCACTGTGATTGGTCTAGAGAAGGTTCTCAGAGACTCAGGGTGCCATCATTATGTATTGTGATGGTGTGTTCACGTGTCTGTGTGAGCCTGTGGGCTCCTTGGGCCAGGGGTGGCTTATTACATCATCTGTTGTCTCTCCAGCCTCCAGTAAAAACATGGTACTCAATGTCGAATCTAGTGGAGGAAAGATGTTTACTTGTTTTACCTGCTCATTGAGGGAGGCAGGGAATTTAATGCGGCAGAACGGAATTTAAAAAGTCTTATTTTCAGTCCCATTTTGGAGACACTATGTGACTCGGGCCGTAGAATAAAAACCCTGGAGGACACCTTTTGGGCAGAGCAGAAGGCCTGCATGTGTACTGATGAACTGCTGATAGACAGGAAGCAAGAAACTCATGGAGACCAGGGAGCGCTGGGCAGGGTGGCCCGTGCTCTCTGGGCGTTGTTCCCGCATCAGTCAGCCGTTCTGTATTCACAGGCACGACTCAGGGCCCGGCAGGCAGTGCAGGCTTTTGTTCAGTGGCCACTGCTTCCCGCAGCCCCCGAAGCGCACAGGCCTCTGACCCCGCAGTCAAGGAAGAGAAAGAGTTGAAAGGCGGCAGCATCAACAGGAAATAAAACATTTTTATTGAATATCCATGTAATATGTTAAGTCATTTGTAACAACAATCAGAAAACTACTGTGGGGTCACTACACAAAATAAAACAAAATTTAAACCACCTCATCAAAAACGAAGGTAAATACAGCTAAAGTAGTTGGCTCGTGGGCCACGAGCCATATGGCAGAAGAGAACACCCCAACATTTCTACAAGATACAGAGAAAACCCACACATAGAAACACTCAAGCAGGCAGTAAATATACACAAAGGCAACTAGGATCTTTCTAGAGCATCAGCTTCTAATACTGGACACAGCTTTGTCAGAAAGGTACATGTGGCCTATCTAAGGATGCATCTTGGTCTTTAAAGCAGGTTCGGTCACTGACTGGTGAAACATGGCACAGTCCCAACTAATTCTATGGTGACAGTCCCATGTCTGGCAGTGTTGCAAGAGAATGCATTAGTAGTACTTTAATGCGAGAAATAATGTGTATTCGGCAGCTCGAACCTGCTTGCCTGAAAGTGTTGTTTCAGTGTGAACAACTTAAAGCTGAATACGGTGAAATTAAATGTCAGTTTCTGATGCTGAAGGAATTTTTAAAAGTCAGTCGACTCCCTCTCTTTGGTAGGGTTTGGTCTTTTAAATTGGAAAGACTCTCATTTGACTCTGTTCAAACTGATATTCAATCTCACATCATGACTTGTGCATCTTCTGTTATCTATGTTTTTAAAAAGTACGGGCCATCCACAGAAGAGAGTTTATACTCCCTTGTCCTTTGTGTCTGTCCCAGTCCTGATGAGTTTGCCCTGACTGGGCTGAAAGGCCAAGAGCTTGCCTCTTCTTTGATGAGAAAAGAAGAATGACAGGAATTCTAGTTTTATCAGGAAACCGCCAACCTCGTGTGTGAAGCCTCCCATCAGCCCTTTTTAAATTAAAAAACGTGGCATGATATCCTAGAATCTGAACATGAGACTAACGCTTGGTTTTCCTCCATCTTGTTTTGGTATTCGCGAAGATAAACTTTCCCATTTTGGAGACACCATGTGACTCAGGGCATCACTGCTGTCTGTGGCCTAGGAGTTGAAATGGGTCACAGAAGCGCGTGGATGCAGCGCGAGCTAATAGGCTGCCCTTCCACAAAGTGGTCGTCTACCAGAGAGGGGAAAAAATATGGAATATTGCACAGTGCTTGGCAAAATGCTGCGTGTTCCACCCCATTCTATGTATCTTTCTTGTCCTATGCATAGCTTTTCAGTTCTGAATTGGTCCTTAGTAATGAGAACTGTTTGTGCTACACAGACCTCGGGCAGTGCAGTAGAAGGGAATGGCAGTAGTCACAACATCACTACGGAATAAACTGAGTGCTGCCCACCGAGGAAACCACGTGTCTAAGCACACACGGCAGTCACAGTGCACACAGCGCAGTCCTTGAAGACTCTCAGGGAAGGACTAGTAGCTTCGTAATAGTGCCATCTACTACACGATGACATTGAGAACATTTAAAAACTCCTCCTAAATCGAGCATCCAGTATACATAAGAGGTTGCTTCAGTTTGCTAGAACTGGTTCTTTGTATTGTTTCACCTTTTGTTTTTTAAAGGACAAATTAAAACTTGTTTAAGTAAAAAGAGCATATAAAAAGATCACTAGCTGTCTGTTTTGGCTTAATTGAAGTGCATTCAGAACTATGGCTAATTGTTTATTTCTTCATCTTTTGATGGGATTACAATACTGTCTGTTTACCACAAAGTAATTTTGTGTAATAAGCACAGATTGCTGTGTTAAAAATATTCTGCATTCCTTCTAATATGGTTTTGTATAATAAAATATTTTGTTACAAAGTCTAATGTGCAAACCTTCTGGAATTATTATAGGTATGAAATCTGGAGCAGAATTCACAGGATGCACATTTATATAAAGGTGATAACGGAGAGCTACTCTTTTTTTCTTTTTAAATAGTCAGGCAATATTTCAGAAATGCTGACTTCTGCCCTCAGCTTCTTCCCACCCACCCCATCCCCAAACAAATGCACCCATACACACACCCAAACCCACCCACCCACCCACCCACCCACACATGGAACACCATCATGTTGTTACTCTATATGCAGTTATATGAAATCACTGACTCCTGTTCAGTTGCTTCCTCAAATGTAAGAGTGAAGCCCTGGTTTTAGCTTTGTAGATATATACAGACAGACGCTGTTCTGGTTTGTGGCTATGCTTCCTGGAGGTCAGTCTGGATGCTGCTCAGATCATGCTAATTTGCCTGTGAAGAAATTCTACAAAATTGGATTCACGCACCAAATATGTGGTGTCAGTGTATCTTGGTTCTCACATGGTCGATAGAAAGCTCAGGTTTAAGTTGTCCTTTAAGATGTCAGCTTGACTGTGCTAGTGCCTTACGACTTGGTATTTTTGCTGGAATGCAGATAATACTATATTTACCGTATAATATATTATCAGCTCTCCTCTATCTCAGTCAATTTACATGATTTAAAATAGAACATCTTATTAAAAACATCTAGATATACACAGATTAGGAAACGCTTACGACATACAAATACACAAACTAGAAATAAATCTTTAGCATACTGGTATATACAACAGTGTGATACAATAAATAATTGCAGTCATGCTCTATCTACACATCATATTGCTTAAAAGAAGAGTAGATTTGGAGGGCAGTGGCATGATGGAGGACTTAGGGGCTCTCTACATTTAAACCTGTGCAAATTAAAACAGGATTTGGAGTACCACTGAATTGTGTTAGGAATGCATGGCTGGATAGATGAAAGGACCCATATTACTGAGGTATTTACAGATTCTGGCTAAAGAGCACTATGTGGGCAAACGCAGAAAGGCTTCTTTCCTCTACTTCTTGACTGCCAGCATAGCATCAACTTCCTCCTCTACCTGGAGGGTGTGCCACTGGGCGATGGGTCGCCTGGGGTTGGCCAGCATGTCTGACCAGTGTCGCAGCTCCGCCCCAGTGCTGTTGTAGCCCACAAAGACCTTGCCGATGGCATCGTTCTTGCCAATCTTGTCATAGTCCAAAACAGTTACCACCACTTGCACTTTCTGAAAGAGAACACAAAAGAAACACTGATCACCCCACCCTCTTACAAAGCTGCCTTGAGATCTAAGCAACTGGGAATAAGAACCAGTCTCAAGTCTCGGGCCAAGCCTGAAAATGACGTGAATGTGAAATAAGAACCAGTCTCGGGCCAAGACTGCAAATGACTTGAATGTGAAAACCTGAGTCCAATCCCCCTTTCGCCATTACGACATCACCGTCATCACCGTCTTCAGCTTCTTCAAAATACTGAATACACGTTAAATTTTCTTTTACATGAACTACTCAGTTACTTCTCACAATAGATCCTACTAAAAATACTGCCATTTCACAAAGAAGATGCCGTGAAGTCCCCGGCCCGGGGTCATGTAAGGAATGAGTGGGTTGGTTTTCACAGTCCGTGCTATACTCCACCAGCCCTTCTGTCTTTGTCAACTGTGTCCACCTCTAGGTCCATTTGTTTCAACTGTCTCATCAGCAAGATTTCTGGCATTGGTATTCGGTACAATAATCACATGATTACTGTGAGTATTAAATGTGACAATAGGGTGAAAATCTTTAAAGAGTAATAACTAAAGATAATTTCCCCATTTATATATTTTCCCAATAAACATTTGCTGAGTAACTGTTGCATATCCAGCGCTGATCTCAAATGGAAATAACCTTTTAGGCCACACAAGATTTACTTCAGTTATTCCATTACATTGTGAGAGTTTATTTAATAACTTACTTTTTAGAACGGCCTGAATCAACGAAAGCAAACCCATGCTATTATGATATGAAAGACACACTTTTTGAAAGCACATTTTAGTTCCGCTTCCTAAGTAATGGATTTGCTTCATCAAAATACGTGATGGCTCTAATCTAGAAACTGAGTGCAGAGATGAAGGAAGAGTTTTAGAATAAAATATAATGCATAACATTTGGTGGCCAGAGTTAAAAGGAACAGAAAATGTAATGATGGACGCCAGGGCCAAATGAAGCTCCTGCTGAGTTCTGGCTCTTTTATGGACTTTGTACTCTGAGGACTGCATTATTGTACCAGCATGCTAAGAGATGGCACCCATGGACAGCTTCACAGCAGAGAAAATGACCACTCTTGAAAGTGGAATTTAGAATGTAAAATGCAACACACTGGCAATAAAGGAAACAAACCATCTTCCCTTGTGCAGCCTTGGATTGATTCCATTATCAAGGGCATCATCTATCCACTGGATGGTATTTGGAACAGAGAACAGAATCACTTTGGTTCTCAGAAAAATTCTCAGAACTTTTCCTGAGCAAATTCATCAGGATGAAATCATATTGCAGGGAATGGGGGGTAGGAGTTAATTAGGGACATTATGCACAAAGGTAAAATGGGGTTTTGGAGGTTGGAGTGAATGGCTGGAGTGGGTTTTGATTATTTCATCTAGGAAGGGACTGATTCATAGTACTCAAGACAATATCCTTCTAAAGGCCTTGGATTAATTTTTGCAGCTGCATATGTAGTTTATTTATACATTTGGAGGTTATAACATTTACACGTACTTTTGGAAATCAGCATATTTTGCTCGTAATATATTTCACAGGGATAGAGACAGATAGAAAGCAGATAATCTTATAACCTCAGAATAAAGGAAACCCAGACCCCTATTTTAGTATGTAAAATGCTCAATTGTTTCTCTAGGAAAACTAGGAAAGCAGTCTCCTGGGGAAAACTAAAAAAGAAAAGAGAGGAAGAAGAAAGAAAAGGACAAACTGACAAGCAGCTGAGAAAGAGGAGGGATGCAGTCAAAGATGGGCTCATTATTGCCATACCTAACGTAATCTATGATGGGCTCAGGTTCTCTCTGTCCTGACAGAATACTCTAAAACGCTTCCCCAGAAACCCAGCATAGGTCTTGTTTTTAATGTGCTTCATCTATTTTTAAGATTTTATTTATTTGAGAGAGAGAGGGCGTGCATGGCCCACGAGTGGCAGGTGGGGTAGGCAGGGGAGGTAGGCGGAGGCAGAGGGAGAAGCAAGCCGACTCCCTGCTGAGCAGGGAGCCTGATGCGGGACTTGATCCCGGGAGCCCAGAGATCATGACCTGAGCCCAATTCAGAGGCTTAAGCAACTGAGCCACCCAGCCACCCCTCTTCATTTTTAATATATTTACATTTGCTGCAATTTATAGTTGTAAAAGAACATTTCCTTTTTTTTTATAGGTGTAGAATTGTAACTCAAAGAAAATTTACAATAGGATTTTTCACCACAATACCCCGCCTTGTATTGTTTTTGCAGTATTAAAAAACAAAACTCCAGGAGGTGTTAAGTTTCCATAGGAGTAAGTTCTTAGAACTCAAAAAGGAGTTCACTGAACAAATATTGCAAAATAAATTGGAGAAAACTGGATATCTTCGGGGGTTGCCAGTGGGTCCAAAGCAGTGACCCCACTGGTTCAGGCTAGTAAACAGATGACTGGGGACAGGGGATCAGTGTCCTCTGCAATGTCATTTACTTATATAACAACTGTTGAAAGTAAATATGTGCAATTTACTACCATGTGAAAATGTGCACGAGAAAGGTTATATAAATCCCATGAAGTGATGTGAAGATGGTGGATTGCTGGTGATTTTTAAAGAACTGCCCTATACAATACAGTAAGTAGCTCCTGGCCACATGTAGCTATATAAATTGAAGTAAATTAAAATTAATAAAGTTCCTTGATCACACTAGTGACTGAGGTGCTCATTACCTACTTGCGGCTGGTGACTACTGAATTGGACCACACAGATGATAAAACATTTCCATCCTCACAGAGAGTTCTAGTAGACAGCACTGTTTCATATATTGTTTTAATTTTATTGTTAGATCTATTTTCTAATAAAATGTTAATTTGAAAAAGAGACAAAATTAACAGTGTGAGTAATAATGGTGATGGGAACCATTTACTGAGTGTTCACCGTTCCAAGGGCTTTTATATGCATAATCTCTTTGATGTGGATTCTATTATTCCTATTTTATATGTGAGGAGATTCTAAGCCTCGGTTTCCTTATATATAAAATTGGGATAATAAACTCTCTCATAAGGTTATTGTAAAGACTCAGTGAGATTATGTATGTAAAGTGCTTAAATTGGGCCTAAGCTCATAATAAATATACAATAAATGTAGCTATTATATTAGCTTTCTTCATGGGATAAAGGTATGATTTGTTCTTAAGATACTGTACTCTAAATTAGATTCTAGATTAAAGTAAAAATAAAGAATATTTCCTGATGTTTTATATTCTGGACCTTTAGAAATTTCCATGGTGTAGTTTTGATGCCTACCCTTCACTTCTCCTTCATGTTGTGGGTAAACTTTTATAGGACTGAGAAGATAGACCCATATCAATTATTTAATAAAATGTAAAAGTAGTGTTGCTTTAAGGCATCTGACTGTCTAATATCCGATATCCATTAAAGATTAGTAAGAAATAGCCGATAGTTATTGGATGTGAACTTTGAGTTCCAATAGTCTCATTATGGATAGAAGGTAAGAGAACCTAAAATTATTTAAAAATTGCTAAATCCCGGGGCGCCTGGGTGGCTCAGTTGGTTAAGCGACTGCCTTTGGCTCAGGTCATGATCCTGGAGTCCCAGGATCGAGTCCCGCATCAGGCTCCCTGCTCGGCAGGGAGTCTGCTTCTCCCTCTGACCCTCCCCCCTCTCATGTGCTTGCTCTCTCTCATTCTCTCTCTGTCAAATAATAAATAAAATCTTTAAAAAAAAAATTGCTAAATCCTAAGATCATATACCATTATTGTGGCTACATGTAGCATCCTGTTTTGACAATGTTATCCACAGATTCGTGTCATAGAATACTCCCTATCATAACAATTATTATCTAGCAAATTAAGTTTTCATCTTTGCAAAAATATCCATCCATTCCAACTCAGAAACAGGAAGCTAAATTTAAACAATTAAAATACGACTTACTCTGATTTTTCTATTGTTAATCACCTTTTAATAATGAAAGATTAAAGATGCTGCATATTTAGCATCAACCCAAATATTTCTTTTATCTCTCTCTTTTTTTTTTTTTGGCATAAGGCTGGGATAAGGAGAACTCCATATTGTGGGCTGGGAACGAATAGTGAAAATTCATTTTCTCTTGGCCTTTTAATCTTTATGGTACTTTTTGAGTTAGCAGAGTCGTTCTGTTGATTTTCTTCTTCCTACTTTATTTCTGCTCTACAGAATGTCCCCTGTTTTTGACTGATGAGTCAGCACATCTTGTGCTGTAAATTTTATCATCTCCTTCTTGATGTAGCTTGAATATCAAGTGTGCATGGGAGTAAGAATGGCAACTCTAATGAAGGCATGTGCACTGATAATTTACAAGGTCTATGTCTTTCATTTATCTGGTCTGAAGAAATAAAATTGAATGGGAAGACAAACTTATATTTGGTATTACCTGGATTTGCTCAAAGGGTACTTCAAAGCTGAAGGACTCATTATAGTAGGGGTTAAGTGTGTTCTTTTTAATTGTTGTCTTTTTCTTCTTCAGCCTCTTGCCATTCTGCATCAGATGGATCTTCACATAAGGATCTGAAAAACAGAAACAAAAACTTCAGGAGATCAAAGATACATATTTTAGATTATAATTTAGCTTATTAAAAAACTTGAGTATTCCCAACAGAGAAATCATTTTATAGCATATATTTAATATTTTTTAAAAAATATAAGCCTTCTTTACTGAAAGATTTTAAGTAACCTATGGGCCAGGTTTTTTGCCATGATATCTCAATATTTATAGCTGGATTTAGGGGATGAGAGCTATTGTGTGCTAATGAGCCAGCAATTTGGGGGAAAAAAAAGTCTTGACATGTAACATTTGCCAATGTCCATGGTAGAAATACTCTCAGCATGGCTAATTTCAAGCTACTAAGTAGTTTAACAACTAGCTTACCAAATCCCTGAAATACTAACAATTGGCTCTTCTGAGCTGGCAAAGTACTGGTTGCAGCTTACCACTGCATGGGAATAAAACTCCTGACAGAGAAAGGACAAAGAAGCCATTTCATGCATTCATTTATTCATTTACTCAATCAATATTAGTTAGGCCCTAGTGATACAGCAGTGAATAAAACCGATCATTGCTGTTTTCATGAGGGAACTTCGGACTTGTTGCAGGGAGGAGACAGTAGGCTTGTGAAGAAATGAAATACATAGGAAATTACAAGTTGACAAGAGTGCTCTAGAAGAACAGAGCAAGAATAGAGATAGGATTGAGAATAGCAGGGATGGTATGGTGAGCCTAAGGTAGCAATGGAATTCTTATACTTAGATTGCTCGGTAAGGCCTCTCTGTGGAGGTAATATTTAAACTGAGATTTGAAGGTTAAAGGGAGAGAAGAGGCCATGTGCACGCGCATGTGTGTGTGTATGTGGGTGTGTTGCGCATGCAATGATGGGGTGGGTTGTGGTTGGAGAGGGCGAGAGAGAGAGAGAGAGAGAGAGAGAGAGAGATCGAGAGAGGGAGATTTAGAAAGGGAGCTCTGCAGGACGTGCCTGATCATCCCTAGGTAGAGAGTAAGTCAGTACACATAGAGGTAATGAGAAAAGGAGCAGGATTCCCTTAGCAGTTTCCCCAAAGCCTCATTAAGTAAAGGTAAAGTGATAAGCAAATCAATGGAGGGGTAAGACAATTCCCATTTACAGTTCTCACTACTAATGGATGAATGACATACCTTCAGGTTACTAAGAACCAACACCCAGGTTTGACAATAGAATCTCTCTACTGGTTTCTTAAATATTTGTCCAGTTCACATGTAATGCATATTCTTTATAGAAAAAGGTCAGAAAACAATGATAAACATAAAGAAAAAAATTAAAAATCATCCATGATTTTACTCCCCTAAAATAATCAGTGCTAAGCCTTCTAAAATTTCTTTCCTCCCTTTTAGCATGTGTAAAGCTTGGAGAAACTTTACAGATAATCTAGTTTAAAACCCACATATTTTTAGATAACAACCTTTTCTGGTCTGTAGTTTTTTCAGCACAATAAAATTCCGGTTTATTATTGGACATCATTGTTTACACATACATCAAACATGCCAAAACTGGCAGCAACTTCATAGACAGACAAACAAACAAACAAGCAAACAAAAAAATGAAAGGAAAAAAAGAGGAAACCTTTTATCTTTGGCCTCTGTAACCATCTCATACAGACCAGCTGTTTATAGTACAGCTAAGTGCATACACAAAAAATGTTACTGGAATCCTCGGAGGAAGATTGTTCTTGTTTGTGTGTGTGTGTGTTTTGTTTTGTACAATTTTTTCTCCTTTGAGATTGTAATGAACGTGGTCACACTACAAGTAGAGTCAGAAGTAGGACAGAGAATGCCCCGAAGGCTGGCTTGTTTATCCGAAATTAAAAATGGCTGACCCCAACCATATGCACAGAACCTACAGTGTAAATAAAGATTACACACACATTCTCCGTTCTAAGTGTTTTTAAGAGAAAAGCAGGGCCTTGGATATGTTGCTTCTCTTTTCCCTCCCTGCTGCAAATCCACCTTGTGGTTTGGGTTGTGTGGGAGGGAGAACGTGTCACTGGGGGGGCGCTGCCGGCGGGTGGGCCTCTCTCCTTGGTGACCCCGTGTAGATTCGGAGACTGGGCGTAGAGGGTAAACCGGTCATGGCCGCCTTTTTTTTTAGGTTTGGCTTTTCCTTCTTCGTTGTTAGTCATCCTCACTGTCTTCTGCTTCCTGGCGTCACCATCACCCTCTCCTCATCTTCAGCTGCCTGTTTGCCTGCAGCCGCCTCAGCCTCATCCTCCTGTCTCTACTCCCTTCTTCACCATCGTCTTCGTCTTCCCCTTCCCCATGTACCTCATTGCTGGCTCCCATTTCCCTCCTTCTCAGCTTTCCCAGGAACAGCCGCGTCTCTTTCATCCCCCGCCTCCTTTCCGTAGAGGTGGTGACCCCGCGGCACTGAGCGGCGGGCGATCCCGCGCAGCGCCTGGCAAACAACGCGAGAGTTGGACGCGCGGGTGAGCCTGCGGCCGGAGCCCGTGGCTGCCGCGGGGCCGCGCGAGGCAGCAGCCAGACGCGGGAACAGCGCCGAGATGCCTCTTCTAGAGCAGCCAGTGGGGCCGGAACAGGTTGTTTGTACCTTCCTCTTCCTATCCGCCGGTAGAACGTACCTCCTGTAGGACAGAAACGTTGCCTGCAGTGTTCGCTAATTGAATTTACTAAACAATGCCTGGCGCTGTTCAGTTTTTGTTGAGTAAGTGGACTTTACTTAGGGTCTCGTAATGTGCATCTCCTTACTCTTAGTGCAGTCGTCTTCCATTGTCCCAAAGCCCACGTTACTTGGATATGTGTAGCTTGGGGTTTTCGTTTTTGTTTTTAATGCTCCATCCGCTCAAGGGGTTTGTAATGAAGATTTTCAACATAAGATTTTCAGCCAGACCTAGAGATGAGGAACCAGCTCCCTTAACCAAATAGTTGGTCAATTAAATCACTGTAAATAATTGCAAATGAAGGGGGAAAATGGCTTTTTTCACCCATAAACCATCTTGCTCTTCACAACTAATACTGATTTTTGGGTCAGAGATCTTGTTTGCTTAAGAAGTTCCCTGGCTCCTCTGTCCAAACCCCGTGTATCTTTACAAAGATGGGCAAGTTTCCAGTTGCTTTTTGGCACTGACTGAATCCCCAAATACTAAATACCCATAAACCAATGTTTATGCCTCCTATGTTCATGTGGTGAAACTTTATCAGCCTAACTAAGGTATAGCTTTTCTCAAGAGATGCACGATGACTACATGTTTATTCATTTAACACAGTAAATGACAAGAAAATTCCTGTGCACCTGCCATTTGAGTAAGCAAATTAAAAACCCAACAAGATAATTTCAGATTCAGATATAAGTTCTGATGTGATGTGATTAATGCCTTGGGGAGAACAGGGTAATTTAGAAAGGGAGCTCCGCAAAGTCCTCATTGAGGAGGCCAGGTTTGAGCGAAGAACCAAATGACAGGAAGGAGCCAGTCATTTGAAGATGTGGACGCTTATATCAACCAGAAGGAACAGGACACACAAAGGCCCTAAGGTGCACATCCTTTGGCATGTTTGTGGAACAAGAAGAAAGCAAGGGGGAGAGAGGTAGCTGGTGAAGTCAGAGAGGTCACTGCTGACCTGTCACTTTCGTAAGCAGAATCTGCCAATTCTGACAGTGATTCCGAGATATTCTATAATGTCTCAACTTTACTGAGATACAATTGACACATAACGCTGTTTAAGTTTAGGTGTGCAGTGTGATGATTTCATATACATACGGATTGTGTAGTGATCACAAGAAGTTTAGTTAACACATCTGTCATCTCACATTATTACAGTATTTTTGTGTGTGTGTTGAGATCATTTATGCTCTACTCTTTAGCAACTTTCAGTTAAACAATACAGCATTGCCAATTGTAGTTACCATACTATGTACTAGATCTCCAGAACTTACTCATAAGTTTGTATCCTTTGATCAACATGTCCTCTTTTCCCTCACCCCCTAGCTTGGCCACCATCCTATTCTCTGTTTTCTATGAGTTTGGAATTTATTTTTTATTTTTTAAATATTTATTTTATTTACTTGGGAGAGAGTGAGAGAGAGCACAGAAGGAGAGGGAGAGGCAGACTCCCTTCTGAGCAGAGAGCCCGATGAGGGGTCCATCCCAGGACCCCTGGATCATGACCTCAACCAAAGGCAGATGCTTAACCAACTGAGCAACCTAGGTGGCGCTCCTATGAGTTTGGAATAAAAAAAAAAATAGAGTCCACATATAAGTGAGGTAATGCAGAATTTGTCTGTCTCTGTCTGACTTACTTCACTTAGCATAATGCCCTTAAGCTCCATCCATGTGGGTGCAAATGGCAGGATTTCCTTCTTTTTTTATGGCTGAATAATATTTTAAATTTATATATATTACATTTTTATTTTAGAATACTATGAATAATAATAATATTTAGATTATTTTATTTCTATATAAATTTATTGTATATATTATATATATTCATATCACATCTTCTTTATCCATTCATCCATCAGTAGACACCTAGGTTGTGTACACATCTTGGCTATTGTGAATAATGTTGCAATGAATATAGGGATGCAGATCTCTCTTTGAGATAGTGATTTCGTTTCCCTTAGGTGTATGCCCAGAAATGGGATTGCTGGATCATAGGGTAATTCTACTTTTGATTTTTTAAGGAACCTCCATGCTGTTTTCCATAGTGGCTGCACCAGTTTGCATTCCCACCAATGGTGCATGAGGGTTCTCTTTTCTCCACATCCTAGCAAGCGCTTGTTATCATTTGTCTTTTTGATAATAGCCATTCTAAGAGGTGTGAGGTGATATCTCATTATGGCTTTGACTTGCATCTCCCTGATGATTAGTAAAGTTGAGCATCTTTTCAGGTACCTGTTGGCCATTTGTATGTCTTCTCTTGAAAAATGTTTATTTAGATCCTCTGTCCATTTTTAATCAGATAATTATTTTGCTATTAAGATGTATGAGTTCCTTAAATATTTTGGATATTAGCCCTTATCTAA